TTCACCAAGAAAAACATTTGATAAGGATATCAGCAGCATCAAGAGACCGCCTCCCAAACGTTCTCATTAGAAGATACACGACAGCCTCTTACGGCGACCGACCAGTTCAGATGTGAACGTGCAGCACAGATCGATGCGGTGACTCTTCGCTGGTCCAACAGCCATCGAAAATAATTTCCGTTATTGCTGTTGTCAGTCTGTTGACTGTTCAAATTTTCTCTGAGCGAGTGCTTCACGTTTTAAAAGATTTTATGAGTGAAAAACGATTCTTTAATACTTCAAATTATTAAATTAAGTGAAAAGCATTTACAACTATTATAGTTTTTGTGTAGAAAGTCATGTAGTAAATAGTTTTACTTGTGTCAAAGCTACATAATGAAGATATTTTTCAAATTCAGTTGTTTGTTTACATATAACTTTTGATTATAAACTGTGAATGCATTTTCTTTACATCCTGAAAGTTATGCTCAAGTTGTCAATCATTTTTTCATTTTATATGATAATAGTGTGGTTCGCAGAACGAAACAATCACTCAATGAACGACATTTGAAAGGAAGCTTACACCACTGTTGCCACTTAATAACTGTATGAGATACCAGATTTGTTTCAACACATTATACAACATGTCAGTGGGTAGAATTTTTTTTCTTTGGTTGTCATGCAATTTTTAACAAATTTTGCGCTATTACAAAAGTGAACTGAAATAGCTTTTACAAATTTATATAAAGATTTTGTTCAATTTTGTATTAAACCTAGTAAAATTTCTCCTAGCCTATGCATTTGCAGTGTTGACGTAAGTTTTCAAAAAATGTTCTTAAGTATAATTATTAAGTACAAGTACCAAGTACATAAGTCCATGTCAAAATTAAATTAAAATGTTATTTATTTATTTATTTGAGATATACTTCAGACACATTATTTTCAAAAGGTTTATTTGTTAAGAGTCACACACAGTTCAGTTTGTTCTTTTTTAGCAACAACAAAGTCTCGAATGAATCATCACAGAGTCTATTTTTTTTTGGTGTAAGAATCAGTCCAGCTTGACTGAACAAACGCTCAACGGGAGCCGATGATGGCACAGTTGTGTTGTATTTTAGAAACAACCTTGCAACAGTAGGATACCTGAATAACGTTAATTGAAGTTTTTAACTATTGTTATGTACGTGTGGTAAAATTAGATGGCGCTTTATGCTGTCCACGAGTAAGTTGTCGCTTTGGCTTGCACAAGCTGCAAGCTGCAACAATAACGTCACCATCATTATCAACAACTTCGAAAAAATAATTCCTAACTACTAAAGGCAAAATCCTCGAGTTTTCTTCATCACGCGCCATCTTTATCAGAATTCAGAATGTAAACGAAAAACGGAAACTAATGAGCATAGATAAAAAAAATGATAGATTAGAAATTAAAATGGTTACGATGTCTAAGATTCTGATCTAACTCAACAATTATTTTAGTCAGTACTTATAAAAAAATTTAGTACTGAAAAAGTACGTAGGTACAATTTTTTCACATACTCAAGTACAAGTATATAAGTACCATTTTAGTACTTAAGTACTAATGTACTTAAGTACTCGTCATCACTGTGCATTAGCAATATGTTAATGAACACAGACTGAACACTATTTCGACTATTTAAACATATATCCTATTTTTCAATAACCAAATTTAGTATGGCCAATGTTTTCACGCAGCCCGTCCGTCTTTTTTCACCAAACCAAATTCTCTAAGCAAGCTGTACTGTACATATAACACCACTCATCTCTTATTTCAACAATTCTACTTGTTGCTTCATCTCGACCACAAAATCTTCCCAACAAAATTATGATTTGCCATAATATTAGTATGATGAGTTGCAGGATGTTCGACGTTAACAACCGTGTTAATAAATTATAATTACTGACTTATTGGCGGCGTGATGGCTCAATGGTTAAAGGCGCCTGGTCTTGCTATTGCAATGACTGGGTTCGAATACAAAGAGATCCCCGCCTATCATAGGCATTGTGTATGATGCGTGGTTTGCACGCGTATTCATATATGCTGTGTGTGTTTGTCGTTGAAACCTTTGAAGCAAACGCAAAAGAGAGAGAGAGAGAGTAACCTTTAACCTCTATTATGCCTGATTTAGTTCCTCTGTTCCTTATGAAAAAGTGGTAATTTTTTAGGTTATCTTGATTTGTTATGACTCTCTTACAACATCAAAAATACTTCAATCCTGGCTTCTTCGTTCACTTTCTTTAGAAACGAATTTTAGTTGCGCTGACGACTGTAGCGTACCGGGTTGGGGCTACCATCCAGGACCTCCGATTAAGAGGGGGTTTCCAGAAGGCCGATGTACACAAATTTTAAAATAAATAGTTTCATCAGTAAGTGCATCATTTTGTGCTTTCATTTTTTTATTTATATATTTATTTATACGTAATATGTAGCAATATAATATGCTCAGTCACAAAAAATTTTGTTTTTAAATCCTGGCCACACAATTATTTCCGCTCCGGGTTTTATTAACCCTAGGGACACCACATCTTGACGGTGGCTTTGATTTCCACTATTACAGAGATAGATACTAACTACTCACCAGTAATAAAGCTGTAGTTTGTAACGACTTTTTTTGAGTAGTTTATAACTACTAGTTAGTTAACTAGTTAATTTTTTTTAAATCACTAACTATTATAATTAACTACATTTTTAACTATTTAAACATTTTTTTACAGAAAAAAGTAATTTTTATTTATTAAATTCTAAAGAGTACATCCCTACTTTAAATTTGTTTCAAGCTTATCAACTTCTGTTTCCTTTTTGAAATTTAACTCTGGTTTTGGGGTAATTTTAAGCAAAATTTGAGGTTTTATATGAATAGTCGAATAAAATTAAATTGTGTTTTGCAGACGTGGTTTCAAACAAAGAATTTCGGGAAATATCTCCAGTTCTGACTCTTTCAACTTTTTAAAATATGTAAAAAAAAGTAAGTAAATGAATATCTAAACAATTGTTATGACTGCTTTTTTCTTGATTAGCAGTGCAGTTTTTAAAATCAAATTTTTCAAATTAATTTGTACAGACTGCATGTCACACAAATACAACTGTGTGCAGCAGAATAAGTAAAGGTTATTTGTGCAGTGCAGCAAATTTTCTGAAGTGAATTCAAAATTATAGAAAAATATTTTACGTTAATTGCAGTAACAGTTTTTTACGTTTAAAATTTAAATACATATAAATATATTGAATAAAAATGTTGAAGTAAAAGCAAAAAATTTAAATCATATTTATAAGAACAGCATTCCCCAGTTTACAAAGCTTATAAATTAGTTAAAGCACAGAATTCTGCACAAAAAACTAGTAGAAAAACATTGAAACAAATTGATATTATAAATGAGTCATTATCTACAACCAAATCTAAATATTTCACACAAAAATTCACCAAAGCAGTGACTCATGGCATTGACAACAATAACGATTTGTACAACTACATGGAGAGTAATTTAAATTTTTTAAATGGTGTGTTGGCAAGTGAGGTCAACTCAATAATTACTTGAATAATCCGTCCGGGGAATAGTGAAAGTTTTTTTTGTATCCAGTCGTGTTTGGCAGAACAGGTTCCAAGTGATAAATAAACACTACCTGATGTCTGATAAACGTGTTGATCAAATGATCTTTTAAGAGAAAGAGTTAAAAGCACATTACAAGATTTTAAAATATTTTATTTTGTAAACAAAAATGTAAATAACTTTTTAGTTATTTCAAAAAAAATTTTGTAAGCGAATCTGGTGAATGATATTGTTTAAAAATGGTTAACTACTAGGCAGTAATAACTACTACAAATAAAAATAGTTAACTCTTTTAAACTAAGTAGTTAAATATAGTAGTTAACTAATATTTTGAGTAGTTGGCACAACACTGCACTATTATTTTCAAACTTTGTTAATCTTCCACGTATATCGTTGGTAAGAGTGTTCGTATTTTAAAAGACATGTGAGCTAGTTTTTCACTCTTTCCGCACAAGCTACATTTAACAAACTCCAACAAATTTCAATAGCGAGAGTTGTTCTTGATGTAAAACATGGTCTTTATAATGAATGGAGCCATGTTCTACAATGTTCCACAGTGAACTTTTTTGAACTACTTTTTATAAGTTACACCTAAAAATTAATTTTAATAATATTTTACGTTTACGTTGAAGTTTGACCTTGTTACAATCTTGAAGTACATTGTGCAAATTCTTTCTGTCCGATTGATTCCATACATAACCAAACTTTTTACTAAACTCGGCTGCAACTGGAATTGTCTGACCGGTAATTGTGTATTTTATGCAAAAAAAACTTTATTATTTTTAGGTATAAACTTCATTCATTAGTTAAAGGTTGCTACTTATAACTAATAACTACTTATATTATTTAAAAAATATTCAGAGAATTATTGTTGATGAAATATTTCAACTCTATAGAAGTTTATGAAAGTTTTGTTTTGAATTCAAATTTTCCTAATAGATTAGTTAAATTTGTTATACAAACAAGCCTGAAAAAATTTCTCAGTTGAAATTATTTGTTGTGTTAAATTTACTTGCTATACCACGTTGATCAAGTTTTAATAACGTTATTGAGCCAATCTTTACTTTATACTGTCAACTGACAGTTACCTCATCAAAATAAATTTGTTTTTTTCCCGATGAAATGGTGTTGTTCAGTGTACGAATGTTTAGATTATACCATAGCACTAGTATCTTATACGATAATAGTATATAGTATCTTATATAAATAACAAATCTGCAATCCTGAATTGTTTTCGGTTGGTTAAAATTCGATCATGTCGCCACTATAATTTATGATTTTTGTTTAATGATTAAATTATCTTTGATTTATAGAGTTTATGTAAGTTTATAAAATGTTTTAATACAAATTCACAAATATTAGCGTCTAAGTTTAAAAACAAAGAAGAAATGCAAAAACAAAATTTAAATAAATTATAAAACAATTTGGCCGTTAAAAAATAAGATCGTAATTTACGGATCATCGTCGTAATTGATGGGGTTATCATCACCTGGTTGTCTCAAACCAAAATGAACCTCTAAATCTGAAATGGAAGTTTCCAAGATTTTTTTGAAGTATTTATTTTCTGGAATTTCGTCGGGCGTGTCATCCAAGTTTTCGTTTAACTTGTTTTCAAAAACATTCAAATCTTCTAAAGTCGATTTGATAACATCTAGTTTATTGTCTAAATTATTTTTCTGAAAAGATTCCAAAATATTCCTGTCCAATAGTTGCCTCTGCCAAGATTTCATTAGAAGGTTCATCAAGCATTTACCTTCATCATTGTTTTTTAAGCAGATGATGCAATTAAATTCTGATATTTTAAAATGCATCCTCATTTCATCTCCGCTAGTTTTCACCTCGAGAACACCCTCTAAACAGTTTCCATATTCTAACCGATACATCAGTCTGCATAATGGACATTTCAACTTTGCGGTGTTTAGATAGATATCCTTTAAACACGTCAAATGAAACTGATGTTTACATTTTCTTAAGAAGACAACATCTGGTGCGCTAATCAACTTGTTGAGACAAATGCAGCAGTCCATGTCTTTTATGCTGTTTTCGTTATCCATCTGAAATATGAAATCCTGTCTCAACATGTTTTTGTAGCCAGTTTTACGTTTCACTGGAAGTTTTATACAAGCAAAAACTACTTCATTTGCGGATTTAGACATTTTTCATTAAAATTATTTAATAAGATGCTGCCAAATAGTTGGAACCAAAAGTTGAGCGACTAGGTATATCAACGTTATTATTTATATATATCATGCCCTCGTTTATATAGTGTTGAGAAGATGATTGCTAATTTGTTGCGAGGAACAAAGATTATAAGTTACAATAAATTAACAAACACAAAGTCCTCAAACATTAATGTATCAACAGTTTTACAATCGATATTTTTTACGATCATAAGTTCATCATCCAAATCTCCAACCCTTACCACTTTTACGAATCGTGCTGTGCTTGAATATCAGCAGTCTTATGCAGTCTTACAATCGAAAAAATTTACAGTTCTACAAAAATGAAAAAAAAAACAATAAAAGTAAGTAAAATCAAGGTAATAATAATAGAATGAAATTAACTTTCAATATATAGCGCAATTTGACCATATTTGTGAAGCAATGATTGTTATAACAATTTCCTTATAGAATACAATCATTTGTTATATTTTTGTTATTCAAAATTTATTAAGGCATTTGAATGAAAGATGTTTAATGTAAAATTTTTAGCAAATGACTTTAAGGTTTTACCCCAACCTTGTGAATGGTTATTTGGAAGCGTGCATAATTTTGTTTGATCATGTATGATAATTTAATTTTTCATTGAAATAAGACGGAACAATGGTTTTGCGGAAAATATAAAATTAACGTGCTTCATAAAAATTAATCCATCAATTAATTAATATATATGTTATTTTTTTGCAATAATTTATTGGGAATGTTGTCGCCACTGTCAATTATTTCTCATTTTGTTTAAAAATTATTTTCCAGTCATTGAAAAGTTGCGTGCCAAAAGTGCTGCTGAAGATGGACAGATTAAAGGAGGTAAAAAATTTTCTTTCATACAGTTTTATATTTTCAATAAATTTATGTCAACATTATTTATGCCGTTATCATCAATTTTAAGAACCAGAAGAGTAAAGTTTTACGTGCACGATTAAATTATGTAAATGAAACTTGATTACAAAGTCATGTGAAGTCGTTTGACCCTTCTCCCAAGCATTTGGCCGTTTTCGTGTTGACGGTTTTTAATTAATTCAATTAATGCCGTGAACTTTGAAAGCATTGCCTGGCTATTATATTTCATTTTATTTTATTATGTTATTTTCATGTTAACGTCGAAAAATGAAGGACTAAAACCAGAACCTGAAGACTACAGACCGACTAAAATAATTGTTAATTAAAGACAGAACCAAGAATAAATATTGTAATGTTGTGTGAACAAACAGGGTGCATTAACGGTAGATCAACTGTAGACAATTTAATATCTTTAGAAACGTTTATTCGAAATGAATTATTATCGTAATATTTTTCGATGTTGAAAAAGCCCACAACAGAGTGAGTATGGCCTAACGGAATTGTAAAAATGTTATACAATATTTAATCTGTTAATTAGTTAATCTATCAATATCAATCAGTCAAATTAATTTCTAAAGATTCAACGATGTTAAACCCAAAAGTACGCAAAATACACAATTATAAAGAGGTACAAATAAAGAAATAAATATAACAAACAAAATAAAATATTGTTTATACAAGAATATAATTTACAAATATTAAACAATGTCCTATGTAACCAAGCAATTTATTCAATTTTTTTATTCCGTAGTAGCAAATATTTCCGCTCAGCATCGCATTCCTTGTCAATTTCTCTGTGAACGTGTGTTCAACGATGCCCTGGTGCTGGAAGATTTGATTGCCGGACAGAGAGGCCACTGTGTCATCGCTGGTTTTTAAAAACTGGAGATGTATTTTGAAGACGAGACAGCAAATTTTGTAGTAATTTATTTCGAACATTGATAACATTTTCTGCTTGTTAAAAATATCAAATATCATATATTTCGTTTTCAGCAATAAAATTTTTTAAAAACCTTTTATGGTTATTTTATAAAAGTGTTAGGTACGATTTTAATGTATTTTACCATATAAGATTACAATAGTGTAAATGAGGATATATTAAGGTGTAATATAACTTATGTTTAGTCTTTTTTGGGATTAGACACTTTATTTTATTGATTATACCAATATTGCGATCAATTTTCATCTTCATGTAATTAAAGTGTTCTTTGAAATTTAATTTAGAGTCTAGATATACCCCCAACAACTTGAAATTATCTACTTTTCAAGGATAGCATCAATTTTTAAAGTCAAGTCGTCATTAAAAACATTTATTTTGAAAGAGCGTTTTCAAACGTCTGACAGGATGTTTTTTTGTTTCGAGGGCACCTCAGTCGCTTGCCAGGGCGCTTTATAAGTCAACATTATCATCATTATCAAGTTATTAGGATTATTTTTTCCGCTGTTATTGAAAATTATATATTTGTTTCTTTAATGTTTATTCTCAACCCATTAAATGATGACCATTCTTGCACCTTACTTAGACTGTCATAAGTTTTTTAATCCAATTCATCAACCTTGTCAACTGGTATTAACATTGTGGCATCATTAGAGAATAAACAAAAATCTGCTGATTTCGTCGCATTGACAAGGTCGTTTATGTTGAATTAAAAAAATACTTCCTTGAGGGACACCACTGCAGACTGTTTCAGGAATAGAAACCTAATTTCCAATGCTCACATATTGATGGCGTCCAGTTAGGCATGTTTCGAACCATTTTAGTTAGGCCCCTCTTACACCATGCTGCTCAAATTTTTTTAAGCAACAAGTCTGTGGAGGTATGAGTAGCCCTACTAATCTTCATAATTCTTTTCAAAAACCACATCTCAACAGCATTAATCCTTTTTTCCATTTTTTTAGAAATTGTCTAGGCCTCAAAGCCGTAAGCGAGTACAGGAAAAATGTAAAACTCAAAATTTTTAATTTTGTTTATATTCTGATTTTACTGTTGGTGAAGATGTTTCTCATTTTAAAATATGCATCTTTCGTCATAGCTATCCTTCGTTTGAAATCCACATCACATTTACAACCTGAGGTTATCAGACTATTGTGGAGTGTTCGATTTATTGTTTTGCCTTTGTTGTCGAATTATAAATTGGACAATTTAAAATGACTAAATAAATCCACGTGGTTAAAGAAAACGAAATCAACAATAAACATGTGTACGAAGTATTCAATGACACAATTTCCGTCAAACTACCCACTGCCATGGAAACGTTGTCAGAAGGATGGTTCATGATAGCTGAAACAGAATTTGAATTGCGAAAGGTTGTTTTTCAAGAAACCAGATTCTACCACGTTTTGTTCTCCCTGTCGGCAGATGTGATAACAAAATTGCCTACTGGTAAAATTTATTACGACACTCTAAGGGCAGTCCTGATGTCGTCGCATAAAAAGACTAAACCAAAACTCTTTGCTTGTCTGTTTAAGGACAACAATAAAATTACTAGGAGACCGTCACACCATCTCTTAAATCTATTGTCAACAGCAAAAAAATTAGGTGTTGGGGATGAACTAATACTCCATAAATTTATTCAGGCATTACCAGCAACAGTTTCACCAGTGATCGCAGCTTAGATGGTCCTTGATCTACATCGACCGGGAAGTTTAGCTGATGAGTTAATTCCATTAGTAAAAAATGAGGTCTATGCTGTTGAAAGATATATTAAAATCAAAAACATTAACCGCAGCACAAACACCCCGATTAACTTACGTCCCATTTACAAAGGTCAACAACAAGTTTGCCGAAGTTACCTATATTTTGCAAAAAATCCAAAACATGTTAACCTTGGTGCAGATGGCCAAACGAGAGAAACGTAAACATCCAACCATCATCTCGACCTTCATCACTAAACCAAAAAAATCATCACCAGCAAACAACATGTTGTCGGAAAACTAACTAGACGAGCCGAAGTCATCCGGCTCGCCACTAAATTGAAGTTGTTGCTAGAATAGGTAGTACAAAGTTGAAATTGGTGGTAGACACAAGCGCAGCCGTGACGATCATACTAACAAAATTCTCAGCAGATTTATTTTTACAACCGGCTGTAGTTCATTTGTCAACTGCAAGTGGTCAGAACATTCCTTGCCGTGGAGAAACCATTGTTGAAATATACTACACAAAACATACAAGTAGATGTGGTTGTCGCAAACATCGTCAGTCTATTACTCGGCGAGAATTTTTTAAGTCATTATAAAATCATTGTAGACGGCAACAACCATTGACTAATTGATTCGTTAACCAAAAAAAAAACAATTTATTAAATTAAACAAAACCAACCGTAGTTAAGTAATGTGAATGGTAACAGGAAAATGAAAAAGTTAAGTTAAAAGTGAAGCAAGAAAAAGTAATAATGAAATAAATTTAAAATATAGATGTTAGAATTATTAAATATGTTTAATGTTCCGTTATAACTGAGGCAGTTAACTTGTTTCACCTGTTTACCATTAATGATTATGGAGCAGATTTTGCTTTTACTAATAACCATGCACTCTGTTTTGTTGATTTTAATTTGCAAACTGTCAACATTAACAACAAAACTTTCACTTTCAAAAACCAGTTTTGAAACAATTGTTTGCAGTTTTTCCAATGATTCCGCTATAAGAGGTGTATCATCAGCATAGTAATAATAATATAAATAATAATGTCTTTTATGAGTGCCCTATGCATAGCGTCAGAGGTGCCTGGATAAACAAATATCAGCACGGCCACCAAAGACCTGTTCAAACAGATTCTGCTTCAATCGCTTTTTAAACGTTTCTATTGATGATTGTTGACGGATGATAAGTAGCAAACTGTTCCGTATTGATGGTGATCAATGTGAAAAGCGTTTATTGACGAGAGTTGGTTTTTTTGACTGTTTGATGCAGTTGCAATGATGACGGCAGACGAAGGTGATGGCGATGATTAACAGAAGAGCGAAGGCGAATGAGTTTGTGAAGATATAATGGTTAAGATGTGTTGAGTGTTTTATATGTGATGACAGCAATTTTATACTTAATGCGTTGATAAATCGGCAGCCAGTGCAGGTGAGCAAGAGATGTTGAACTAGAAGATA